ACTGGATATGAGGCAGCCCTATTGTTTCCTCTGATTATAAAATAATCAGTAGCATTAAAAATACTAAACTTTTGTTTATTGAATAGAGATAAAAGAAGGCTCCATAAATAGCAGAATGACAACAGAAATATGTGATTAAGCTTACCTATGGATAGGTTTAGCAGATGCGTGGCAAAAGGAGGACATGTCCTCTTTTTCCCCTCATATCCTCTATTCAACAAGCATAGTCTTAAAATGAAATACTGTCTGGATTTTTGAATATCTTGTTTTTTATTTTTGATTATTTGCATGACAGAAGTCATTTAAATTTTTGGGCAGAGTGACCTTGTAAATTGTTTCTTTCTTTCTTTCTTTCTTTCTTTCTTTCTTTCTTTCTTTCTTTCTTTCTCTCATCAGTCAACAGAGTCTACTGTTTAGATTTATGTCATTTAATTTATTTCCTGATTCCAGTAATCATCTTCAATCTAGCCCCTTCAAATCTCTAGCTCACATGACTCATCACATTTTTCTGTGGTGAAATTTGGAAAGTGCACCATAGTTAATTCTATATTATCAGTTAGCATTTTGAAAATAAAAATTTGTTGGTAAAATATTGCAATTTAAAAACTACTCTTTCTGTTGTCGGAAAAAGTAATTTATATAAATGTGGGCCTGATTACATTTTTGCAGGGTTTTTGTTGTAATTCTTTTTACAGATATCAAGAAAATTAAACAGTGTGTCTCTTTCTGTCAGGCAAAATAGCCACCCCTACTTTCCTATCTCATTCAAAAAAAATAAAATTTTATTTTTATGGATTCAGAAAAAGTCAGGGAAGAAGTTAGCTTCTGTGGTCCTGGGCATGGCATCCTTTTCATGACTTAATAGAAACCAAATCCCAGCTTTAGGTTTTCCACTGCTACTCTCAGTATCTTTTAATTGTTCTGATTACAAAATAACTTTATATTCTTGGCTTATAACCAGAAAGTCATTTTTTTCATAATCAAGCTTATGTACTTTTCTCATTTAGCTGAGCATGTTAGTTTATAAACTAAACAAACATGCCATAAATCACCATTTCCCCTTCAAATGAAAATACCAGATACGACATGATAAAAACTTAAAGATAGCAGTAAACTATCCTGAAAATAAAATTATCAGAAAAATGATTTCTAACTTTATAAAAGACTATTGGAAGAATCCAATTGGAAAGTGTCAAAGCTTATTAAGATCAGCACTCCTTTTCCAAGAAAAATCAGAAAAAAATTAGTACTGCATACAACTTGCTTGTTAATGCCATTCAAAGAGACATTTCACAGGAATCATTTTTTAGAAATGTAGCTTCATACAGGTACAAACAACTTGGGAGACACAATTTCTATTTTCTTAACTCACAACAATATAAGTTTTTGAAGAAAACATTAAATTGCAGTCTCTACCTAGAATATTAAACATTATGCTGTCATCCAGTGGTCATTATAATGAACTACACAATTTCTTTGTTTTTACACTTAGTAATACAGTACTGTTCAGGAATATCAATTCTGTAAGTTAAACACAAATAAATTACAAATACAGAAAATGTCTAATTTGATACTAATTTGTTTAAAACCCCACAAGACTTTTTAGTACTATACAAACAACTACTCTTCTGAAAAAAATGAAAGATATTTAAGTGAAAGAGTGCTGCATTATAAAATACAAGCAATTAAAGATATTGTACTAAAATATTAGTTTTCAACTGAATACATTGAAGCAACTAGCTAGGGAACAAACAAAAAAAAAGAATGAATGTGAGATTCATTGACAAGATAGAGACACTGTGGATTGGATCTCAAAATTTATAAATTAGCATTTTCGTTGTTTTTGAATATATTGCACATGGCCTAAACAATTCTCTCTCTCTCTCTCTCTCTCTCTCTCTCTCTCTCTCTCTCTCTCTCTCTCTCTCACACACACACACACACACACACACACACACACACACACACACACAGAGTATGAATCTGCATACTCATCAAGCTATTCCTGTTCAAGGTAATTAGTGGTATGCATTGTAGAGAACAAGAGTAAGAAATAGCAAACCAGAGACCCAGAAGAAATAAGATAGGGAGAAGGAAATACATATAAAACTACTATGCTCTATAGTTGCAGTTAACTGAATATATTGTATTGCTTCAAAAAACAAAGAAAACTTAGATCTGCCAGGATGGGTATGCTAGGTATCACCTGGTGGGGCCTTGGAAGCATGCCTTTGTCATGGTGTTTGCCTTGTGGAACATTCTTCCCCCAGCAATATGGTTGGCAATGACCTATCAGCCTTTAGGAAAGTGGTAAAGTCCTGGCCAGAATATTGATAGAGCTAGCACAAGGTGATTGTGGATCAATGTGAGTTTTATTGGGGCCCACAGTGCAGTTTATTGTTTTAAATGGCCATTTGATTGTATTATAGTTTCTTCTAGATGATAGGTTGCTATGTAAGTTTGTTTAATAAGAATCACTGGTACACTTAACATAAGGGTGAATATCAGGCACCATGGTCAGCACAATAGAAATCACAGATTAAAAGTATAATAAATTCAATACATGTTACTAAGAATGTATTCTAATTTGGATATCCCACAACAATGAAATATATATCCTTTTATCTCTTTATTTTAGAAGAGTACAAAATATAGGCAAAATACCAGGATCTACAACAATAACATTGTAAATAACATGTAAACAATCCTTAAAATAAAATAATTAATAAACAGCAAAAGAAAATAGAAAAAAGAGGAGAATTATATGACAAAGAAACTCTACTGTATATATTATAGATTTTCACTTGTTTATTAAAACATCATAAAATACTATAGAATACTGTAATCAGAAACAAAATATTATTGTAAAACATCATAAATTCTATATCAAAAAAGAATATATTGCTATATCCTTAATTAGAAGATACTATATTTTCCAAAACTGAAGTCCAATTTTGTACAACAATCTTTTTCTAAGCAATCTAAGCTCAAAAGAGAACATCTCCTACCTGCCACCAACTAGACAATATATGTAATGTGCTGACAGCACTATGAGTTATTTATAGCTATTCCTATTTGCTACCTCTGTCTAACAATCTGACTTCACATTTAGTATGGGTGTAATCTAAATTCTCCAAATTCTTAATGGGCTGCTTGGCAAAAGGTTCATAGGTATAACTTGATTAGATTAATTATCTTGTTACATAAGAAAAATTTTTAAAAATCTACGAACAGATTTGCTCGCAGCAGCACACCAGTCAAAGTTTATATATACAGTATATATATAAACTGTATGTATATATATATACAGCATAAGGTTTATGCTCCAAGATTTAAATTCTATACTTTTTGATCCATTTAGTATAGCCTAGCACAGTGGTGACAAACCTATGGCACAGATACCAAAAGCGGCACTCAGAGCCCTCTCTGTGGGCACGCGCACCATCGCCCCAGTCCTAGGCCTTCAGCTGGGTTTTATAGGCCTCCGCCGCCATGTGCAAAAAAACCCAAAAGTTTCAACTTCTAGCAGGAAAAAAAAAGGTCTTGCAAACTTGGAATTGATTGATTGAACTTTTTAGTCCCACTCAGTCCACCGTTACCACCGCAGTCATGCCTACCCAATGGGCCATGCCCACCCAATGGGCCATACCCAGCCAATAGGCCACACCCACCCGGCACTCAACACTGCATAAGTGGGTTTTGGGTTGCAGTTTGGGCACTCAGTCTCTAAAAGGTTCGCCATCACTGGCCTAGCACATAGAAATTGCAGAAATAAGAAATTGCTTAATGCATATTTTTCTAATGCACATGCTTATCATTATGATAAGTATGAACAGCTTGACATCTACTTTGTAAACAATAATCTGTTTGTAATTTGAGTTTCTTTATTCCTGGACAGTAGATATTCCTTGCATTTGGGAGGGGGGAGTTCTTTCAACTTGGGAGTGTTGTTAACATATTTTATATGTGACTGACCATGTTCTGTAGACCCTTAAACTATTGGGGAGGCTGAGTATTGAGTTTGTGGTCTTGACCGAGTGGAGAAAGGAACCAGGAACTCTGTTGAACCTTTCTGTAAAAGTTGAAAAGGGGGAGAGAGGTTTGGGGCTCATGAGTGGAAGCTCGTTTTCTCAATATGGGTCAGACCAGACTCTTAGAAGCCTTAGCTGGCCCAAGAGAAAAGAACATTCTTCCCTAACAGATATGATGGACATCTTTTCCTTTGGTTCACCTTTACCAAGAACTGATTCTATTTTATCCAGAATTTAGGTAGTTGTAAGTGAGTGAATTACAAGAGCAGAAAGGAAAATCTCATTTGTATTTGAATTATTCTCTTGTCTGCAAAAACTGTCTTGCATTGGGAAGAGCTGCATGGCAGAGATGCCTAGATTTGAAAGCACAGATGTAGAAGGGAGAGATACCATCAGTCAAAAGAATAAATGCTCCTTGCATTCACCCACTAATTATGTTCTTGAGAGAAAAAAATAAACAATGAATCCACAATTCTCCATGGTTAGCAAGATTGATAGGCCTCAGATCTCCTGCAGGCTATAATGAATTGATATAAAATGGGGAGACAAGGTGAGAAATTAAGTTCTTGTCTAGTCCCATTAACTAGAATAGTATATTTCTCTTTCATTCACATTCACACACAGTTAATCCTTAGTGCAAAACCTTGAAGGCCTAACATTTTTATTTCCTGCTGCTGCCTCCTAACTGGCAGTACTCTGAATTGTGTATTCATGAAAGTGTGAGTCAAATTTAATTCATCACTTAGCTAGGATTTCCAGCCTCCCCCCCTTCAGAGTTAATTTAATTAAATCAAGATAAATATATTTCTTTCACACAAAAAACTGATTTAAGCAGGACAAGATTAATTCATCAGCTGAACCCAAATGATAACATGCCAGGTTTAAACAGTATGAAAACTTGTGCATTCTTATTTTCACAAAATTTGAAAGGAAAAGTGGGCGAATGAAGGAAAGTTAGATGTTTCTTACACAGCATGCTGTTTTCCTGGTGATCTCTCCTGAGGTAATGGATCTTCTGAGAAGGGTGGAAAGAGATTTAGACCAAAAACACATGGATAGAATTTTGGCGGGAAAAAGGAAAAGAATAATAATAAAGGAAATCTTAAAATTGGGAAAACAAGAAAAGGAAAACAAGAAAGGAAAAGAAAGACTGTTTATAAAAGAAGCCCAATCAGCAATCTTTTCTGTAGTTTTCCATTTTGATAAGAGTAAAAATGTAGTGTTTTCTCCTTGTGTGCCTATGGATATAAAGCATAGGAGAGAACAATGGACTAGACTGGGGGGAGGGGTAGCCTAAACTGCTGATCTTTGAAGCTGGAATGAAGTCCATGAGCAGCTTTGCAGCAGGGATGGAAACCTTTCAGAGACACAATATAACAGAATTTAAATGGAAAATTCTATTTCAAATGCCTCATGTTTGCCTGCCAGATAGTTATTAAGAGCATGCAGTTTTAACAAGCAGAAGACCACATCCATTCAATTGTATTTTACAGTGTTTTACTTTTAAAAATGTGTATTGATCATTCAGAGATTTCTTTTGACTTGGGAAGCAATGCAAATGTGGGAATAAAAGTGGTAACTATTTCCCCGTCCTTATTGCATCTGCAGATAGTCACCCAGCAGCCATGTTTTGGGTGACTTGGTCCCTCCTTGGAGGGAGTAACACGGAAGTTCATCTAAAGTGTTACTGTGCGGAATATGCTGTGCATCTGGCAGACAAAAGTTGCTCATATTTGCTCTGTGTTAAACTCCAGTCTTATAGTAGAGTCAATGAAGGTAGTTGCAAGGTGATTTGGGAACAGTTTGGCCCATGGAACCTGAAGAAGTTATAGGATCCTCTCAGCTGCTAGTTCAGCCACTTTGTGTTTTAGTTTGTGTCCTTGCTAGCTAATTAAGTCTGTGTAGGAGAGGACATATGAGTGGATCTGGGAAGTAGTTAACTCCTCCTTGAAAGAAGGAGTCCTTTGAATGACGATGTGGACGTCTTATCCCAATGTCTACAGGCTGTTGGTGACCAGATGGGGATCCAACTCAACCTAGCAAGACAGAATGGATTAGGTATTTGGACCTTTTGAAGACAAGATTTTTCCATCTTTATAGTTTGGATGCAGTTGTACTGCCCAGACCAGGAGTAGACAACCTTGGCTCTTTTATGACTTGTGGACTTCAACTCCCAGAATTCCTGAGCCAGCATGGCTCAGCTTGGAAACCTCTCCCTTCCCCTCAGCATGGCTGACTCAGGAATTCTGGGAGTCATAAAAGAACCAAGGTTGCCTACCCCTGACCCAGACAGAGCTGATGTGCAATCTGGGAGTCATGACTCCTACTCAAAGAGTAGGTGGCAGCCTTGGTTAGAAAAGCCTTTGCACACCTTTTGGATGGCATACCAGTTACACCAATTCTTGGACTGGGAGGCCCCACTCACAGTAATTCATGCCCTTGTAACTTCTTGTTTAGACTACTGTAACACGGTCTACATGGGGCTGCCCCTGAAGGCATTCGGAAACTTCAACTGGAGCAGAATGCAGCTACATGGGTAGTAAATGGTGCCAGATATATGGCAAACAACTTTTAGAAACAAAAAACCAACAACTTTTTCCTCCTCTGCTGCAAATGTTAAGATTTTCCTAAGCTTGCTGATAATCTCCCTCTGCTAAGTGAATGCATTTGGTGATATAAACAAGACATTCACTTATGAACTCCCAAAAATAGAATAATTAAGATAATTATTTATCATGATAACTTATTAGTGAAATTCTTCAGTTTTATAGGAAATGTCATGGATCCTATGCATAATTGCTTTTTAACACAAACATGTAAGGTGCCTTCAAAACTGTGCTTTCTTTAATCCTTGGAGTAGCAAGTCTTCTATTATCTGTTAAGAAATCAAAGTATTTTCAGATATATACAATTCTGAATTATTCCCAGATATATCAAAAATGGCATATATGTTAGAACAGAAAAAGAAAATGGCTGCTTTATTTCTTCATTTAAAATGTGGGAGTAAAACTAATTTTCTATTGTGGTTTTCAAATTAATGAAAATAATTCTTCATTGATATAGGAATGTCTTGTCAAAATAATTTTCTAAAATATTTTTCAGTTTTAAGGTTATGACTCTAGAATAAGCCCTATACAAATATTAATTAGGAAAGGCATTGGAATGCAGATAAAACTGTAGGATTTTCTTAAAGGCCTATAGTTAGATGAAAGGTGCTTTGACAGATTTCAAGTAGAAAAAGGCTTCTCCTTCACACTTTTCAAAGGCAAATAAATTAGAAGAACCTCTGCTGCAAAATTTTAACTGGGCAGAAAAACATTGGCTTCCATCTGTTTAAAACACCAAGGACCAAATCAATTCTCAGCTGTTTAGTTTGGTATGGAAATATGCGATCTGTAAACAATATACTGTAGCTGCAACAGCATATGTGTCATACAATCCAATCATCTGACTCTTCCATTTGATTCTTAGGTTATCTACATTGCTCAATTTCCTCATTATCAAACAAGTCAGCAACTTTTTTTAGATGGCAGAAACAGATGAAATCATTCTGTACTCACCCCCCCCCCATGTCTGGGCATGGTTTCCTGTTGCAGGTTTAAAGCACTTTTTTCTCTCTTTATGTTACTTTCAGCAATCCTGTCCATTTTGGCTGATGCACTTTTTTGGATTAGCCCCAGAGCAGGAATTCCCCTCAACTGAGTCAATAGTTGCAATGATCTCTAATGTCTTTTAGAGCTACCTCCCTTACATCAGAAACATTCCAGAGTCCACCAATAGCTACTCTGACAACTCAGGTTAAGTGAAGCATATAAACCAACAAATCCATGCAAAGCTTTCTGAGTGACCCATAAACCCAGCACCCAAAGAAGCAAAATGAGAATAGTATACAAAATAGATTACAAAAACCCATTACAGGCAAATTGAAGATTAGCAAAAAACCAAAAAATACTAATGGGCAGCCCAAAGACACCACTTGTATAAAATTCTAGTACCCTGGGAAGGCCTTCACACCACCTTCATGCTATGTGCCATTGGACCCTTTCCTACACTAGAAGGCTCTTGTAGTGGTACGCAGAAAAGACTTTGGGAGACAGGGTGAAGACATGCTCCCTAGGGCCGGCATGTCAAACTGCCAGCCCACGGGCTGGATGCGTCATGCCAAAACCGCACCCACCTCATTGCTGGCAATGGGGAAAAAGTCCCGATATGTCACAAGTTTGACATGCCTTGCCTAGGGAATGCTCAGATGCACTAAGAGTCAGCACAGTTTGCAGCTGGATAGTGGGCAGAACAAGAAGCTCAGAAGTGACCCTAATTTCTTGGGCTGTAAAGGAGATGACAGGAGAACTGTACTTTAGACTTTCAAAATTCTGTTAATATAGCTTTACCAAAGAGTAAAATTAACTTATTTGGATGTGTTTCCTCTCTGATCTATCTGGCAAGACTGACAGCTCTGCTCATGGTCACTAATGCCATGTTCACTTCCTAGGGGCAACTGCTATAATGTGCTCTACATGAGGCTGTCCTTGAGCATCTAGAAACTTCAGCTGGTACAAAATGTGGCACATATTATGACTCTGCTCCATGAGTTCCATTGGTTGCCAGTTTGCTTACGCATCTAAGTCAAGGTGCTCATTTTGACTTTTAAAGCCCTTCATGGCACAGGATCAGGTTTGACAGACCATCTGATCATGTCTGCCCATCCCATCAGTTCTGGCAGGAGAGATATGTTGCGAGTCCTGTCTATTAAGAAACTACATCTGGCAGGAACCAGGAGACAGGCCTTTTCTGCTATGCAGCCCTAATCTCCAGAGGTGAGATTAGTTGCATCCTTGGTAACATGGCTGTATCAAACAGCCTTGGCAATCTCCGAAAAATGGAGAACTAGTGAGATGGCTACAGTGTAACACCAAAGATGCTTTTGAGAGTCACAATTGTAAGGTGGGCAGTTATAAAAATGTGATGAATATAACTATATAAATAGAATATTATGTACTCAATCCAATATCGTTGGCAACCTTTGCATTGGCAGCTTTGCATTGTATTGGAACATTGCATTACTAAGGTTGGTTTGTGATCAACTATCATTGTTAGGTACAGATTCTGGAGCAACAGTAGGAAAAGCATGCAGATATTGCATCTGTAGAATGCAAAATCATGGTGCTTCCCTTTTTCAATGTAAATCATAAGGCCAGTTATGTCTGTTTAGCTGTGTGTCATGTATGTGTTTCACTTTGGGAGCGAGCAACTAAATTTTATTTTTGATGTGTGCAGTTGTGCCCACAGTAAAAAAAATGACAATAAAGGTTATCTTATCTCATCTCATCTCATCTTATCTTATCTTACCTTATCTTACCTTATCTTACCTTATCTTATCTTCTAAATGTTGCTGCTGTTTGATCATTTTATTATTTATTTTTGTGCCTTTGAGTCAGTATTGACTCCTGGAGAATCTTAGATAAGCCCTTGAATCTTCTTGGCAAGATTTCAAAAGTAGTTTGCCATGCCCCGCTTCCTAGGGCTGAGAGAGAGAGTAGCTTGCCCAAGGTCACCTAACTGGATTTGTGGCTCAGGCAGAGTTAGAATTCATGGTCTCCCAGTTTCTAGCCTGGTACATTAATTAAGACACCAAACTGACTCTCCTTATAATCTACTGTATATCATCAAACTAAAAAAAATCTATTATTCAATCGTATCCATTTCTCTGAGGGTACTCTAAAAATATTTAGTGTATTTTAAATCTGCTTTATAAGCATAATTTAAAAAATGAAGGGTATACAGAAAGATATCTTGTGAATCATTAATGGATACTTAGTGAATTACATACACTACTTTGCTGCAAACTGAATCCAGTTCAAACAATCACAACTGCTTTAAAATTTCACTAGAGGACACTACAATTCCAATCAGCTGCTCAGTGCACATAAGTATAAAAAAATACATAGAAAAGGAGGCTGGTAAGATGGGCCCAACGATCACAATGCCTTTGTTTGCTCATAACACAGCCATCTGGAGTAGGTCAAAACAGAGCAGTCTTGAATTTTGGAATCTTTGCTCTTTTATATAAGCAAAGCCATGCAAAAAAACCTTGAGGCAGTGGGAAGGAGAATGTCCCATAGTACCAATATCCTAGCCCAGTTCAATCTATAGTGGAAGGCAGTGCAAAACAGTGCCACATAATCCAAAATATAATCCTAAAAAATGTTTCAGAGTACTGGGTGGACGGGATTGGTTCATATTGTATAGTAAGCATAATACATTTGATTCAGCTAGTCTAGAAGCATTGTGTAATTCAACAAAGTTGCACAAAAGACAATTGGTGTAAATGTCATTATCTTTTGTGTGTACACTCACTGTTACATCACAACTAAATTAAACAACATTGTGGATTAAATTTTCAGTAGGTGAAAGGACGCAATGCATATCATACCTGCTCAGATTATCAAAGCTAATATAAATAATTCAATATGCGACCACAGCACTTCCAGTCTTTGGACTAATATAAATTGTACAGGAAAGAAGTTTATTGGTGGGCTCTTCAACTGGACTAGTAAATAATTCCAGAAGCTTTGGCGACATCAAAAAAATGTAACAGCTTATTTCATAATTTTCATAAAACACATTCATCCTAAATGTAAAAGTTAAATTGCCATAGCAACGCTACTAGTCAAATTAAGATAAAGTGAATTAAAAATAAAATTGTAGTTTATTTCAGATAGTAGCTAGGAAGGTTCTGCAACTGTAGGCAACTTCCTGAATGAGTCTTAAACTTATTTGCAATTACAGTCTTATCAAATTGCAACGCAAGGCCACCTAAATCCAACTTTCCTGGGTCCCAGGATTCCGACGAGCGTGGGTTGAACGCGTTACGCAAAGAGAGGAACAAGGACAGCAAAATGCCTTGTTTCCCAGGAGACCGTTCTGAACCCCTCTTAAGCCCAAGCACACCGACTAGGTACGAGCTGATTTAAACGTTTAAATATGCGCTCTCCTCCGCAGCTGAGTGCTCTTTCCAACCCTCCAGAGCCCGCCCGGAATTCAAGTGGGCGGTTACAAAGGCACCAGCCGTGAGATTATATGATGTCAGCCCCTCTCAGCCGTCCCGGCAGCTTTGGAAAGCTGGCTTAAGAGAGAAAAGATGCCTTCGCGGGGCGGACGAGACTTCTAACATTTGAGCACTGAACGCCACAGGTAAGGGAGCGCGAAGGCCGCAAAAAGCGGCCGTGGCCACTCGGGGGAGGGAAGGTAAACAAACAAAAAAAAAACCCCACTGAGCCTCCCACTTCCTCTTAGGATTTCCTCGAGTGACGAAATAAAGTCTCTCCAGCGAAAGAGCTTTCTGGGATTTTTGCTGTGCCGCCCGGTTACTTGCTCTGTTTCTAAATCATTTCGGACAGGGCGGATGGGCAGCGCGCCTTGAGCAGAAAGGTGTTTTTTGTTCTCTCGCCTGAGGCACTTGCTTACTTTCCTTTGTCCTGCTTGTTCAAGGTACACGCTGCCCGTCCGAATCGGTTTCTTAACGATTAAGAATGACGATTTGGCCGAAAACGAAATTAGCTTGAGAAAGAGACTTAAGAAGTTGTCAGTGGGCGTAGCTGAATCTCTGCTTCCTTCTCGCGAAGTTGCTCTGATATATTCAACTTTCTGTGAACCCACCAAGCCAGCCTCGAAAGAGCTCGTTGTAATTGCAGCTAGTCCAAGAGTGCTTGGGAAGCACTGGGTATGTTGAGGCTAGAGACTGTATTACTGAAAGGGGGGAAATCGGTGAATCCATCGGCAGGACATCGTTCTTGGCTATGTTTAAATTTGTTCCGTGAATTCTGGTTAATATCTTCAGTGCTGATTAACTATACATGTAGTTCAGTGTCTCTTGCTTTGTGAATGGGATTTTGTGAGCCAGGCAACTTTGCCATGGAAAATATTTGTGCGAAGGAAATGTGGTAGCAGAAGGGAGTAAGAATCTTGGCATATATAAACCTGTCTTCAGTACTTATATCCCTCTTTTCTTCTGATTCTTGTGTAATTTCTGGGAACAGTCCAATGCCATTTATATTATGAAATCACAATGGTTGTACAGGTTAGGCTAGTTTGTGAGAGTTCTGTAGCCTCTTTCTAATGCAGCGTTCTGACTTGTGCTAACTTGTTTCCAATATTCTGACAGCCAGATGAATCCTTTCTAAAGTCTGCTGTGACTAATCTATTAATATTTTCTTGACAGGCATCAGGCTATGTTATTTTACGTTTTGCTATTTCAGCTGCTTAGAAATTTGTCTGCATTTCCTCACTGCTCAATACAGATCAAGGAATCAAAGGGTGCAATAGAAGAAGGTAACTTATTTATATTAATCATTGTATTTTTGTATTAAAATTGTTCCTAATATGAAGGACAAAATCAAAGAAGTGTAAAATTATAATTGTATACTTCAGCCTAATCTAAATGCTGTTGCTCAAAATGATTCAGTCGGAAGGTAGTCAACCTAAAGGAATGAAACCAGAGGTTAATAGTTTTGGATTTAAACCAGTTTTTTTAAAGATAATTTCTTTTTAACTATGGTAGCATGTTTTGTTAAATATTGCAATATGTTACAACCAGTCATATGAATATGAGATCTACCCTTCCAGGAAACATCATTTTTTTGTAATGAAAGTACAATTCACCAACATCGTTACTAATCTCTTAATATAGCCAAACATTTACCAGATTTCTTCATCTGCAGCCTCTAGAGCCCTAGCTAGTTCTGAAATTCCTATATTCTTCCAGACTCAGTTTGACTGATTATATATGAAACATTTCTGTGAGGTTTTCCTTTCTTCTTTCTGTTATCACTTTAAATATACAGGTAAACCTTGACTTACAACAGCTCATTCAGTGACTGGTCAAAATTACAATGGCACTGAAAAAAGCGACATGATTTTTTTTTTCACATTTATGACCATTGCAGCATCCCCATGGTCACATCAAAATTCAGACTCTTGGTAACTGACTCATAGTTATGATGACTGCAGTGTCCCAAGATTATGTCATCATTTTTTTGACCTTCTGACAAGCAAAGTTAATAGGGAAGCCAGATTCTCTTAACAACCATGTTACTAAGTTAATAACTGCAGTGATTCACTTAACAACTGTGCCAAGAATGGTCATAAAATGAGCAAATTTCACAACTGTCTCACTTAGCAACAATTTTGGGCTCCATTGTGGTTATAAGTCAAGGACTATCTGTATTAATGTTCAGTGGTAGAATTTCATGGGGTATTATTTCTCTCCTTGAATGAAGTTTTTTTTTAAAAAAAAATAACCGTATAAAATTTGATGTTTGTCCAAATTATGAATCAAGATCTTTTTCTGGCAAACTATAGAAATAGCTTGCCATTGCTTTTTTTCCCCAGGATTTTATTTTACTTCCTGGCAGTACAGTTTTGGGATTTCTGGTCTCCCATTCAAATACCAGAGAATCAGTTTGGTGAAGAGGTTAAAGACACCAGAGTAGAAAACGGGACTGTGATTTTTAGTCCTAACAGGCATAAAAGCCAGCTGGGTAAATTTGGGCCAGTCCTTCTCTTGGCCCTAGGAAAATGGAAAACCACTTCTGGAAAAATATTGCCAAGAAAAATGCCAGGTCTTCTCCAGCCAGCCACCAGAAGTCAAGGCTGATTCAAAAGCACAAAGCAAATATACCAAATCTAAGGACTAGCCAGGTGTAACCCCATTGCCTTTCTGAGTTCAAGCCAAATTGTTCAGCTAACAGATGACAGAAATTTGCCAGACTGCTGACTGTCACCTAAACTTTTTTTAAAGTTGCCTTGGCAGACTTTAGTCTCACCAAATTTGCTAGCTCTTAATATATACCCTCTTTGGGCAAGTTCAGGTTCTTTTTAATAAATCCCTGCTGGTTATCTTCTATAATATTTTTGTAGTAAGTAACTTAGGTAAGGATGAACAATGATGCAGGCTGAAAGTTCTATACTGCTGCATGCTAATGTATCACAGATGTCAAAAGAACATGGGTATATTTTGTAGAATTAGACGTTGGTGAGATTTGCCTCTTCCCCCTTGGAAAAAAGTAATTGCCTCAATTGTTTTGTTGGCTGGGGGATTAAGGGAAAAGTTGGTGATACCATTACAAAAAAGGGGGTGATTCCATTCTTCAAAGTATTAACATTATTTTAATTATATTATAGTATTCATCCTTGCAGAGAAAGCTAATTTATTCATTGGACGGCATCTTCAATACAACCGATTTGACTTTGAACTAATAACTCAAGGAGATCTTGAAAGAGAATGTTATGAAGAGCAATGCAATTTTGAGGAAGCAAGGGAAATTTTTGAAGATCCAAGAAAGACAGTAATTATTTAACTTACAAATGCTATTGAACATTTGACATGTGCATGACTTTCAACTGATAACAAGTCAACAGTATACTCTGCATAGGAGTAGCTAGGGGTTTTTTTTTCTCATAGAACGCCCAGAACGGAGTTCTGGAACCTTTTTTGGATGGAAACTTGTAGGGTAGGCAAGGCAGGTTGTATGATATGTGTGTGAGTTCCAGCATCTTTTTTTTTTTTTTTTTTTTTTTTAGAAAAAAAGCACTGGGAGTAGCTGTTAACATTTCTTATATCCCCTAATAATGAAGCCTTCTAAGTTAGCCCTGGTCATCATTTTCTTCAGTTGTTTGAACTGTCGTGCAGGGATAGAAATTCAATTCTGGCAATAAGATTTAATAATTGTCATGATCCAACTATTTCAATTTAAATGTTTCTAAAATAACTCACAATAATTTATTTAAAATATAAAATCATCTCTCTGCCATCTTCCTCTTTCCCAGTATCAAAGACAATTGAAATTTCAAATTCAAAAATGTCTACCAATGGAATATAAGAGTTGTTCTAAAGAAATTACTGGGTTATTGATACTTTTAATGCCTAGTTTTAACATTTGAAAGCAAGTACAATTAAAAGTTGATTTGGAAAAATCTGTCTGATATATATATCAGAAAGATTTCTCTCTCCCATATTTGGGCAACAGGGTGTAACATACAGCATTCTAGATAACTCCTCCCCTGTTTCTTCCCTCCCTAACACAGCTGGCAAAAGTGAGACAGAACCTGTGGCCTAGAGGTTAATACATCTGCCTAACATGCAGACAGCCCAGGTTCGAATCTCAGAAGGGTATGTCTGGTTGAAAAGAGCTAAAGAGTTCGAAATAGCTATTCCAGTTCTCCCTTAATTCTTTGCTAGCAATCCAAATTTTAGATAGATAGATAGATAGATAGATAGATAGATATAGATATAGATATATAGTGTGTATGTGTCTGTGTTTTCTGAGGTTTTTGTGGGTGTTTGTATGTAGGTCTTTGTTTGTTTGGGTTTTCTCCCGCGTCAAATTGGAAGTGTCTTGGCGACGTTTCGACGAAGTCCCATTCGTCATCTTCAGGCTGGCGTTTTCAGCTTCTTGCTTCCAGGAGCAATGTGTGATCGTAGCTGTTTCTTCCTTTTAACTGCTAGTGGGGGTATGAACTGATTGGATGGGAGCTTGGCTGTGTTCTGACTGGGTGGAGGTGTGTTCTGATTGGTTAGGGGCTTGGCTGTGCTCTGATTGGATGGGAGGTTGGCTGTGCTCTGATTGGATGGGGGAGTGTTCTGTTTGGGTGGGGGCTTTGTTGTGCTCGGGTTAGTCTGAGTTGCAGGGGGATGTGAGATGGTGAGATTCATTGCTGTTTGGCTTCGCGTTCGTGGTCGTGCCTCATCTTCATGGTGGGTGTCAGTTTGCTTCATGTATGGATTGGAGGGGTTTAAAGTGGCTAATGATGCAGCTGTGGTCTGGCTTCTGGTTTGTGGTCGTGCCTCATCATCGGTGTGGGTTTGGGTTTGCTTTTTGCATGGATGTGTGGTGGTGACATCCTTTGTGGTTTTTGTGAATGTGGATCTGGTGTCATTCTTTGTGTTAGGGACTTGTTTGTCAAATGGCGCCTACCAGCCATTTGGAAACCCGCCCTTATTAGCCTATATATATATATGTGTGTGCTCATCTAAGCATATTTGTTTTTGTTTTCTTAGATGTCTTTTTGGAATGAATATACTCTTAGGGGTCCTGGCTCAAAAACAGGTAAGGCAAAAACAATATAGTGATGTATCAATTTTTTTCACATATAGTATCTTGGTTTATTCTCCTGTCTGTGATGAATTACAGCTATTCTTTCAGTAGATATGGCATACAATAGATCCAAGCTGTAATCAGTGTATTCATCTTCAATAAGAAATTTGTGGCGGTTCTTCTGATGGACACAGCAGAAGGAATTGTTAAAACTATGATATTGGCAAAAATGATTACATTTATACTAGAAAAGGGTAGTCACAGTATTACAACTTGATATTTTCTTTTTTAAATACTATATTTTATAATATGGAATCTCCTCCCCAAATCTTTCTTAAGCTACTGGGGCAAATTGGAAGGGTATTAATATAAAACTTTTTGGGTTGACCCCTTGCAAGAATTTCTTAATAGAAGATACTTAAAATAGACTGCCACTGGTCAGGTTGAACTTCCTGACATGTCCTAATCCATCTAGTTGGGGGGTTTTAGGCATTCTTCAAAGGACAATTCTCTTCAGTTGGAGCAAAGAAGGAATATTTTGTGTTGACTGAGTTAACACATGGGACGCGAGCTTATTGCTGCAGGAATGGCAAAGAGGTAAAAAGCCACTATTTTCTCCTCCACTTTCCTTTCTCCTGCCTGCCTTCAATTGCTACAGCTTGGGGGGGGGGGGGGACCCTGGTACCCAAGACTTTTTATAATGGAAAAGCTAAGCAGAGAGATTTGCTTGGGACTCAGAGAGTTCTACTTACACCCCACAGAAAGGATCTTTGGGTCTTCCTGCCTAAAGGCCAGAAAATTATCATACAAAGTCAACAAAGTTTACTAAAAATGGAAGCATAGAGGAAAAATAAGGCAACCACCCCCCCCCCTCTCTCTCTCTCTCACACACACACACACACACACAGAAGCCCGGTAAAACTAATCACATTACCTCCTTGAATATGTTGTTGGGTTTTAGCAAGTTTTGAGAGTTTCTTGTACAGAGAAAAGTCTGCCTCTCCTTCTTGTGCATTTCTGTGCAGCCTTTATTTTTGTCCTTCCTCCATTTTATGGAATGTAAAAATAATTGAAAGCCTCTTTGGGCAAAACAGTGGTCTCCCCAGTCACGGAGACTGCTTCACCTCTGACTGTTACTTGTCACCTAATTCTTTAGCATTTAAGAGATATAATTGTACTTCAAAAGATGCATAATGGGTATATTGCTTTTATAAATCTAGAAAATAACTTAAGGAATTTATTCCTTATATTTATTGGCGTACTGTGATCACATTTTCTGGCAATACTGGATTAAAGTGTGATTTAGGGTAGATCAGGAAACAATGAGAGGATCCAGTACACTTAACAGCCTTTCCTCTTTGTGCAGGTGGCAAAGCAGCAGAGAAGATTGACGTTATAGGACTTTTGACTGGACTGATTGCAATTGGAGTACTATTGATTATACTTGGATTGCTTATTTATTACCTGTGCCAAAGAAAATGCAAACCAAGGTTACCAGGGTAAGAAAATAAATGTTATAGTTACCAATATCATTTTCAGTGTTAATACCAACATCAAACATATTGTATCAGGACATATTTCGTATTTGTTTACATTTGCCAATTATATCCTGCATAGATTTGTGCTATATGTAGCATAAATTGGTGAGGTAACAAGAGGCTTGAAGAACAAATATAGTGTCAATATTCAAAAAGGTGAGGATGATTGACCCAGGAAATTACAGCTAGTTTAATGTCTCTAATGGGCAATCTATAATAGATAAGATTGTCAACGAGCCATGATGCAAAGAATGCTACCATTCTTTGGAGTAAGCATGAATTTGTGAAGAACAAGTTAGATTCACCTCAGGGTTTTTTTTTTAATGATTAGTGACTAGTTTAACAGATGAAAGGAAAGCTGTAAGAGTAGTATATTATATTGTTAATACATTGGATGAATAAATATGGATTAGACAGTAATAGGATCTGAAACATTTGCAACTATCTGAATAAGTACACTCAGAGAGTGTTCATAAATGGTTCTAGGTGTTCAGGAAGGGAAACATTGATAATCTGGTGCTGTTTGCATTTCGTGGCCCAATGCTTTTCACATCTTTATAAATGACTTGGAATATACAGAGATCAAATGTATGCATATTAAATTTGTAGATGACACCGGATGATGGGAATTGACTAATACTATAGACAAAAGCACAATTCGAAACAACCTCAACAGGCACAAAGAAAATTTGACAGGAAGATATTCAAATGTAAGGTCATGTGCTTGAATAGATAAAGCATTAGAAGACTGACTTGGCAGATAAGATTCCAATAAAGGAGATTATTTGTAGTTCAGGGTTGAAATGAGGGGTCCTTGGTGCTCTTTGAGTTTGTTGTTTTCTTCCAGACATTTCATTACCCAGACTAGGTAACATCTTCAATGCTAGTAAGGATTGGTGTTTGCTCTCAATTTATATTCTAGTGCAGTGGTTCTCAACCTTTCTAATGCCGCGACCCCATAATACAGTTCCCCATGTTGTGGTGACCCCCAACCACTTATACATCACCGGGTGCCAGGGCGTGGCCAAAGAAAAGGGGGGGAAAATGGCGGACAGCCTTGTTTGGCGACCCCCGTGAAATGGTCGTTCGACCCCAAATGGGGTCCCGACCCACAGGTTGAGAACCACTGTTCTAGTGGCTTGCCCTGTCAATATTAGTGGTCTTAGAGATTCTTTGGTTGGGCTGTTTGCTGTTGGCTTGTTTGGTAGTTCCTCGATTGGGGTATTGTTTACTTGATTGTTAGCCTGATGTTAATTTTGGGTTAATCTACGCTTATCTGAGTGCTGGTCCGCAAGTGTTTTAATCTTTTTGTTCCCATTTTGGCTTGTTGATTGTCTCTTTTGAATAGTTTATAGATATTGTTTATGTCTATGTATCTACTGATGGCTAATTCGTCAAAGTACAAGGCTTCCACAAATTCCCTAGCATTTTTGGACTTGGTTTAGGATGGTCACAGTTTCCCAATTGAAACTATGGTTAAATCTGTCCATATGTTATAAAATTAAAGAGCTTTTATCATGTCTTTTGACTGCTAGTTGGAGTTCATGGATGCATTCTGTTTATTCTACATAGTTGCTGTTGCACTCATTGCACTGTATGTTGTAGATGACTCCTATTTTTTCTTCTGGGGCTGGGTCTTTTGGTTTACTTAAGATGTTTTGAAGGTTTTTAGTTGGCTTATGTGCCACACTGATTCCATGTGGTTGTAGTAGTTTGTTGGTGGTTTCAAAGATGTTCTTGATGTATAGCAATGTTAACTGAATTTCAATCAATTGAAAGGATTATGGATTACATAAACCTATGCCTAACCATATACTTTCAATTTGATGGACAAACTTACCAACAAAGTAAAGGTCCTATGGGATCACTGCTTTTAGGACTTATAGCAGAGGTTGTTATGCAATCTCTAGAAGCCATAGCAGTTCCACAAACACAAGCCAAAATAGGAATCAGATTTGTAGATGATACCTTCACCATGATAAAAAAGACCAGTTAAGAGAACATCCACAATTCCATCAACATCTTCAAAAGAATCTAGTTTGCCAGAGAAAAAGAAAACTTCAACTCACTACCCTTCTTGAACATCCTGATCAGCAGAGACCACAATGGCAAATTAAAAACACGTGTACAGAAAAACCACCCACACCAACTAAATGTTGTACTACCGAAACAACAACCCAACCTCTGATAAAAGAAGCTGCATAAGAACTAAAGGAAACAGAGCATCTATACAACATATTCCAACAAAATAGATATCCACACAACTTTATCAAAGGTTCCTGACCACTCAACCCAGTACAGCACAGCTAACACAAGCCCTAAAAGAATAACACTGCCATACATCAGATAATCTCAGAAACTACCAACAGACTACTACAACCACATGGAATCAGTATAGCACACAAGCCAACAAAAGCCCTTCAAAACATCTTAAGTAACCCAAAAGATCCAGCAGCCCTAGGAATCATCTACAACAATCAGTGTAATGACTGCAACAGCCACTATGTATGACATACAGGCAGAAGACCAGCAGAATGCATCCATGAACACCAACTAGCTGACAGAATACATGATGAAAACTGTTTAATTTCACAATACTCGGACAGGCTTAACCATAGTTTTAATTTGGAAACAATGACCATCCTAGACCAAGCCATGTTCAAAACCACTAGGGAATTTCTAGCAACCTGGCACTCTGACAAATCAGCCATCAATAGACACAGAGACATAAATAATATCCATATACTATGCAAAGGAGACAATCAACAAGCCAAAAAGGGAACAAAAAGACTAAAATACCTTTCCACCAGCAATCAACACTCAGATGAGCATAGATTATCAGACTAACAATCAAATAAACAATTCCCCAATCAAGGAACTGTCGAACAAATCAACAGTAAACAGCCTAACCAAAGAACCTGTAAAACTACCTCCACCAACACTGACAGGACAAGCCCCTAGAATATAAACCGAGAGCAAACCCCCACTTCTTACTAGCATTGATGTTACCTACTTTCAGTAATGAAATTTCTGCAAGCAAACAATGAAACTCAGAGCACCAAGGACCCCTCACAAATAAAATTTGAGGATTTAAAAGAACTTGCAGTCCACTAATAATTAGGAATTGAAGGATAAAATGAATATGGATAATAGTAAACAGGAATTTAGAAAGTGACATTATGCTGAGTCCAAATGTTGGTTTATGTAATTCAGTAGGAACTCTTCAATTCTCCAGGGTTTCATTTTGGATTATTTTCAGCCCTAGCTAGATGCAGCATTGCAACAGGTCTTGAATCTGTGACTTTTTTCTTACGCATTGCATAAAATCTCTCTGAGTCATAATTCCTTCCAGAAATTTCCTAATAGATTAAATAAATTGAAATTATGTGATAGTTTCATAAAGATTAAATAACATATTAAAACTTCTATATTTGTACAGATGTTTCCTTGGATATTGAAATATGAGTAGTGAAAATTAACAATTCATATTTTCTGGCAGTTAAGGAGGCTAATGTTCCAAACCTGAAAATAAAAAAAGCATATTTTTTTATAACACATGCATTACAATGTACATCTTGTTAAATCAGTTGTCTTCCTAAATGAAAAAGCTTATCCTTAGTACCATCAGTTTGTAAAGCATATCTAGTATAGGATTGTTCCTTGAATGTTGATTTTAGAATGTGCTGATCTTTAAACAAGTGATTGGTTAGTTACTGAGGTCATCCTTTAACATGTTCTTCAGTAACAAACCATTGTGGGCGAGACCTTTAATCCTTGCAAATAGTTTTTACTTGATAGCCTATGAAGGTATGAAGCAACTTTTTAAAAATTGGATGAGTAGATATTGAGCAACAACATAGTATGACTGTTCACCAGTAATATTTTTACTAAAAAGGAATGTTTGAACATTATTTGTTTGTAATTAATCCTTTGAATCAATTACAGCAAGCTCTAAACATCATGGCAGGTAATATCAACAAAACTCTCTTTTCAGCTTCTGTGGAATATTATCTTTTCAAATTGTTACAAGGTAAAGAAGAGACATATCTCACACCATTGTGTCCAGCAGTGAATTCATAGTAGTAACTTCAGCAGCCTTCAGTAGTCTTTAATAATCAAAGACCTTAACCCTTTATACAAAAGTAGCATTTCATTTTGTCTTTTAGAAAATCACTAGTGATGTCAGAAGTTTACTTCTTTTATAATTGTCATTTGGCTTCTTTAAATAGCAAACACGATTTCTGTCTCCAAATACTATGAGATGTTGTGGTCTACAAACGATGACAATATGATAACTCGTTGCCCACATCTATTAGCCTGTGCCATTTGAAATGTGTACTTTAAAAATGTTTTTATGTTTCTGTATAACTATTTTGTTTTCATGCTGATCCTATCTGTTCATTATTGCATAGAACAAATAAGTGTCCCATTAATAATGATATATGTAAGGATATATTAATCATCATATTTGATATAACTATTTCATTGGCTGTGTTTTGTCCTAAATTCCAGCTGTTTTTGTTATTTCCCCTAGAAAGATTTGCATTCTTGTAATAAGATGTCATTTCTTATGAACTTTATAAGAGTTTAAAATGTCATGTGAAAAGTTAGTGAAGTTAATGTTTAATTCAACTTAATCTCTATTTTCAGCTAATATTAGATTAATACATAAATGTATAAAATACAGTGAATTGCCTATTAGCATTATTTTATTTTCAAATGCAATGTCTTTTTACCATTAACCCAAGAATATGTGATTATATATAATTATCCTGTATTACCTGCAAACTGTGTTTTATTTCTTAATCAGTTTCTGGAATAACATTTTACCAATTACCAGATTTATTATTCTCAACTCCCACATGTAAACTACTTTATAAGTCAGTGCATTGTAACCATATCAGAATACCCGAAAGGAGAAATAATCAGTGAAAGCAGATAGTTTTTGTTGATCAAAGGAGAACAAAAATGATATGAAATAAACCTGAAATAAGAAATATTTGAAAGCTTCTAAAAATTGAGTTTAGACATTAGAGCAGTATAGTGTGTAGTTATAAGAAGTAGCCTGCATAGCAATGGTAGTGCTCTTAAAGTAGCTTTGTGAACCTGTTTTCAAGCCAACTGTGTTCAAGTTGTCCATGTTTTAAAAAGGTTACTGAGTTACTTTGGACCAGTCATTTTCAATTTAACCTACTTCAGAGGAATTCTTCTGGGATTAAAATGAAGGCAATCCTCATTTTTGGATGCCTTAAGCTCTGGCAGAAAATAAACCACAGACTCTGAGAACTAGGTTGCATTAATCTGGAAACAAAATCAGATTGTTTTTTTAAAAAAATATTTTCATTTAACAGTGCCGTATATTCCGGTGTATACGGCGACCCGGCGTATAAGACGACCCCCGATTCGACGCCGAGTTGCAAGACGATCGACGCTGAGTCGCATGCCTAGAAAGTCATTTTATATGCCAGAAACTACCAGTGTTTCCAGCATATAAGACGATCGACGCCAAGTTGAATACCTGGAAAGTCGTCTTATACGCCGGAAACTACCTTTTTTTCCGGTGTATAAGTCGACTTGGCGTATAAGATGACCCCCGAATTCGGCGCCTGTTTCAACGCTCTCAAAAGTCATCTTATATGCCAAATTATACGATAATTATTCCTCCAAATACAGTAATTACCAAGAGGCATCTTTTAAAAATAAATAAAATTCAATAAAAATAATTCCAGAGCCCCTAATTCAATATAAAATGATTTCAAGAAACTTTACAATTCAAATGTCCAGAGTAGTTAATTTTTATCCTAAAATCCTATTGCCATTAAAATCTCTGATGGGTTTATAAATAATTTATGGAACTTAACAGTTTTAACAGCAGAAATGGCCTTGATTTTGAAATTAATGTCTACTTGCTTCTGTATCTCATCTTAAAGAAGCCTCTTGGAAATCTTGTTATCTCTTAAAAGTGCACAGAAAACAAACATGAATATTCCTGTTAGAATGAAACATTAGGCTATGAGATTTTAACATAAATGTTTGGATTTAAAGTTCATAGTATCCATGACCAAACTAGAATTATAATTTTGGCTTAAATGAAAATGAGCCATTCTGATCTGGCTTCTTCAGCTACTTGGCAAGGCTAACAAATATGGTGATATCATCCATTCTTTGTTTAGCATTACATATCAATCAGGAATTTGGGCTTGTTTTTCTTGGAATAAGTAAACCCATAAGCATTTTTTTCCCTTAGTTTGTGCTCTGATGTTGTATTCAGAGGTTACTGTTGTTGCAATTTAACAAATCACAGATGTTTCTTTCCATCAGCAAATGTTAAGGGAAGTAGAGGGTTGCCTGATCCAAAACTTTTTTCAGAGTATTGATTCACTACAAGGTATATATGACCCTGATTTCATAGGAAGGACACTTCATCACTCTCAAAAAATTATTTACGAATCTGTATGACTTTCACATCATCATTCCATGGTGTATCACATGATCTAAAGAATGTACAGAGGCAAATATTGGGAAGCTGGACTTCTTAAAGAAAAAGAACTTTACCTTTCTCAAAGTACAGCACTATCTTTTCCAATGTGACTTCTTTTAGATGTATTGGGATTAATATTCTCAAAATTCCCACCCTGGAAGATGTTAATAAGGTTGTATTAACTAATTTCTAAACTAGGAAGCTGAAAATATTGTTAACTGTTTCAATTGATTTATCAGCCTGATTTTTGACTGTTCTTATTCATCAAAGTTGTTTTTTTTATTATTATTCTAGGCACAGAAGCAGCAGAAGGCATAATTGTTCCATCATCTTCCAAAGGCAAGAAGAGTTTGCTTTAAATCCTGTTCCTCCTTGCAGTACAGGACAGATAGGATTGCCAACTTATGATCAAGCAATGGCATTAAGAGAAAACTATGATTCTCCACCTCCACCGTATCCTGGAAGTTCAGGAAAGTTCAAAGTGTTCAAGAAGTCTCTCTCACTTCCAGGTCCTTAATGAACAAACATGACCTTTGTTGAGACTGTTGAGAATTAGTCTTAATAAAAGATGTGCAGCTGAAATGCTACAGTATAGCATTCTAAGACAGTGAAAAGAATCTTTGAAGATGCCTACGATGGACTAAATGGTGTCAGGTAACAAGGAATCCATTTCTCCAATGTTCTGATAATTAAGGTTGAAAGACTCCTTTTATGATATTTCCATTTATATGTGAAAACCTATACTGAACTTGGCTCCTGTGCATTTTGAGCCATTGAGTAAACTGATGTGCAGTTTTTCCTGTTTTTTATAACAGAAAAATTTTATTTCCAGTTCTAAAAATTGCACTAGTTTTCTATTTTAGAAGAAAAAATATTTTTCTTTTGAATTTTCTCCCATGATAAAAATGTATTTGTGTCAGTTTTTGATTCCTGGTGATCGCCTGATCTAGTCCTTACAGTTGTTGGTAATAATGTTGGCAGAAGTGCCTTGCCATTGCTGCCTTTCTAGGGCTAAGAGAAAGTGACTGGGCCTATTTCACCTTTGTGCCTATGGTAGATTAGAACTTAGTCTCCTGGTTTCTGCCCGATGCCTTAATCACTACACCAAACTGGCTCTCCTGTGATAAAAATGCTAACACATTGAAATTTCAATTATCTAATTGAATATTTGATCTATTTCTTATATTAGGAAGAATATATCCATGTGGGTGTTATCAATAAGTTTTTATAAATAAAATAACTATTTGTACCTAGTCTGTTTTCTTTGTTAATGCCAATTAAATAATGAATCTGAAAGAAAATGTCTAATATCTGAAAAACTGCCTTGCTATATGAAGCCAAAGATCAATTTAGATGTTAAACAGACTTTCATGAGAAGCTCACAAACAAGACACGATGTAAAAGCTACTCTTTCATTACTTATTTGAAGGGCAATATGGCTGCAAGATGGGATTGGGTACAGCAAACAAAGTGCATCTGGATTTTCAGAGGGCTTAAGTTCTTTAAAAACAAAAGACAGACTTATTTCAAGGCACTATTAGTTGCTATCTAGTCAGCAACCAGATTTTTTCCCATGGCAATCTGTTCCTAACCTGGTTCTTCAAGTTTTTCAAAGATGACTGTGACTACCATTTTTGCTTCTCACCTAAGAATGACAGAAAAAAGTCTTCAATTTTCAGCCCACATAGTCCAAAGGAATTCTAAGGGCTGTGAAATGCTTGGCACTGCAGCTTACCAATCTTTGTTCTGAAAGAAAATGTTACATGACGAAGCTTTGAGCCACTAAAATGTTAAACCAATGTCTCTGCCATACAAGGTTGTTAGACTTGCCATAGAGGCCATTTCTGCAGACCATTCTACTACAACTTGAATCCTTTGTAGTCCTCCTTTGTCAAAATATTAAACACAAGATGGTTTCATCTATTTCCTCTGCACAATTCATAGTGGCAATATTGTATCTCAAAGTCTGTGTCTTCCTTTTCAATGAATAAAACTTCAAATTCAAACTTCCATATTTGAAAGTAGGTCCTTACATGCCAGCATAAATATCACAAACTTCCCTCAGCTGTTAATCTCAAACTGCATTGAACTTGATTTCCTACTATCCCCAGCTGCTCTCTAGGCACCAGCACAAAAGTTGGAAAAGTCAGTAGTATGGCACTTCTCCGCTGAAAAGATGCATTTTATTTTTTCAGCATTCATTTTTACATTATTTTGTTATTGCTTCCTATAATTCTCAAACAAAAATGTTTGTGTAACTGTATCAGAACCATCAAGCACAGAAGCATGCAGTGATTTAGCAGACAGGGACAGGATTCTCCTAACTTAAACATTGGAAGTATTTAAAATACAATTTATGAAGTTCCACTGTTCAGATATTTTACTTCACACACTTTCTGAATTAGTAAATATATGTGTAAAGAAAAATTTCCACACCTTTCTTTTGAATCTTCAGACACGTTTTCCCATTACCTTGCCATCAACCTTAGATTTTCATCATGTACAGGTATACTTAATAAAGAGACACTAAGAATTCAAATCACATTTCTAGTGTACAATTCTAAGATACTGTACGTTAAATTTACAGCACGCATAAACGGGAAGAGAGAAAATGGGTCGTTTTAAGCTGACAAGCAACGTGGTCACGAAGCCACTTCATGCGTTATTTGATTAGCCTTTTGTAGAAGAACATTTCATAAGCAAAGGCGTAAAGAGATTACAAATCCCAGCAAAGCTTTTCACGTACAGGCGTTGTAGAGATGAAAACCTCCCCCTCCCCTCCCCAGCGCTTCATTTCGCAACCGCGGGAACAAAGTGAGCCGGAGCAACCCCTTTGCGCTCCCGCTCGGCGTCTTTCTCCTTGCTGTAGGCGCCCTCTTCTTTCTCCTGCTACGGCTACTACTCCAGCTCACCGGCCGCAGCAGGAAGAGCAGCGGCGGCGGGCGTCGTTTCTCGTGTCCTGAAGCTGATCGGCCCCAGTCAATTGCAGCAGGGTGGGAGGGGCAGCCTGGGAAAGCCACAGCCCGACATGGGTCTTCGGCGAAGCGGCTCGCAGCCCTCGCTGCCAACTTGGCCGCGGCGCGCCGCAGCTCTCCGGGTTCTAAGCCGCTCTCCCGCCTCTCGCAGCGGAAATTGAGGGGAGGACCGGGTGGGGGGGTGGCCGCCGCAGCTGCCCTCCTCCTGCGAGCGGGAAGGGGGAGTCGTCCCACTCTACACGGTCCCTGCAGCCGCCCCCCCTCCCCGCCCCGGCTGGCCGCTCCTTGCGCGCCAGGCCCCGAGCGCAGCCCGGCGTCCCCTCCTTTCCCACTCGGATGATGGACAGGAACTACCCACCAGCCCCCAGCTACCCTGATCCATTGGGTTCGGCCACCGCTGCCGCCTCTTCGCAACCCGCCACCGTCTGGGCCTATGAACGGGGCGTCAGCAGCCTCAAGCCCAGGTAAGGAGGGTCTGTCCCTCGCCAGCCCGGGGGGCTGCGTCAGGAAAGGCCGGGGATTGAGACGAGGCCTGCCGTCCCTCGCGCGCCCGCGGGACCTGCTCGCAGTTCCTTCGCCTCCTCCTCCTCCCAGGTTGGGCGGCTTCCCTGCTCCGTGGCGTGGCGTGGCGTGGGACGGAGAAGAGAGGTCTTCCGGCGAGGAGAGGATAGAGGCGCGTCTCCGGTAGGGGAGCACTAGGGCCCTCGGGATCCCCATTGCTCGGAGCTCAAGCGGGGATTTTGGAGGGGCGTAGCGAGGTGCGTGGAGGGAGTTTTAGGGACAATGAAAGCAGGAGGCGTTGCGAGGTGCAAATAGAGGAGAGACGCAGGGGAATTCCTGGCTGCCATGTAACCCCGAGCCTCCTTTCCTCTCTTCCCACCATAACACACACGCGCGCGGGCGCGCGCTCTTTCGGTCGGGAAAAGCGTGTAGTTTACCCCCCCCCCCAGACACACACACCCGGGAGAAGAGTTCAGCATGACAGAAACCCCCCCTGTCCCCCTCCTTCCGTTTCCAGGGTGCCCTCGTCACTGCAAATGCGGAGGGGATAAGGGAAAGCTCTTGGCCGCCTCCTCTTGCTTCCAAGGTGCGTGTGCGGGGCAGGCCGTTCAGGTTCAGGAGTTCATGTTTACTTCCTGCGTTGCCTAGAGAAGGCATTTTTGAGGTCTTTGGGAAAAACAGGGAAACCTCCCCCCCCCATGTATTAATACAGCGTAGTAATGGAGAGCAGTCCCTTAAATAAAGTCTTTAAAGGAAGGTGTAGGTCCGTAGATTAACTGAAGATTTAGAGCATACGAAACAAGAGTAAATGTGCCTTCACCTTTGAAAATAGAATAGGTTTCTCTTCTGAAACCACCCAATACCTTTTCATCATTTTCGGTTTGTACTTTTCCCCTCTTTTTTATAGGCAGAGGTTCCTACACTTGTATGCCCTGTGCTTTAAAACTGAAACTTGCTTAAGAATACTCAAACACAAAGAATATTTGATGGGATACTTTCCAAGGATATTTTATCAGATAGAATAGCAATTGGCTTTCTCATCCTGCCAGACATGAAGTAAAGGTTTAAAAACTAATTACGAAATGAATTTTAATATAAAAGTAATGATATTTAAAGAAGAATCTATGTTGCTTCCTAAGAGATGTTACACGTGTTTACCAGTGATTTGTATAGAATTTGACATTTATTTTGGCTCTAATATGTGTGCAGTATGTGTAAAATAACAACAAAAGTACAATAAATCTTGAAGCCTGTAGGTCAGCAAAAATTAAATTAGCTTTGATTTCTTCAGTAGTCCTTATCCTTTGATGGCTTGTATGCATTATATATTCCTTCTTCCTGTTCTGCACCTATGTCACTTCTGAGAAGGCTTGTTTTGTAGTTTAACTTAACAAAACGTAGCAAAATATAAATAGACAAAGCAAAAAACACATTTCACTGACGGACTAGACAGTTGTGCAGGTAGTCCAGCGGTTAAGACACCAGAGTAGAAACTAACTAAACTGTTAGTTTAGGCACGAAAGCCAGCTGGGTGACTTTGGGCCAGTTACTTTCTCTCAGACCAACCTATGGCACAGGATTGTTGTACAGAAAGTAGGAGGAAGGAGGATATTGTGTACGTATGCTCCACTGAGTTTTTAATAAAAGTAATAAAGGCAGGATTTAAAAAAAAATATGAGGAAGCACAAAAGGGCTCACCTGCGAGATGAGAGGGTGGAGCAGAAAGCTGCCTGAAGCAGTGAGGGAAATATTTTGAAAACCGGGGAAATTATTTCTTATGTTGATTATGTTCATTTCTCCTGGGGAGGAATGAATGGGTTCCTGACTAAAGAGACAAGATTTGATTCTAATGTGAAGATTGGTGGGAAAGATGACTCAGAATATCAGGAAGAAATCTCACTAATTAGCTTTTCTCAATCCTAGATTTTATTAACTTTTCATTGTATAGTTTTTATTGCAGTAAGCAAATTATAGTTAGCTCTTTCAATATCTCAGAATATATTATTCGGGTTACTCAAGAAAATAGTTTATGGATATTGGTTATTGGCTCATATTTGGGACCACTCAAGCCTCAATTGTTGCTTTGAAGCCTGCCTTACTTTGCCCACAGCCTACCCTCAGAAACCCTATAAAAGCAAAGTAATTTAATTCTAATTCATTCCATGTGCACATAATGATTTCAGAAAGTCCCTTAATTGAAGAACATGTAGAAGTATCATGCACAAACTTGAACCAGCCTTCATTATTTTGAGACAATAGCTCTTCTATGCTGGTTGATGAATTTAGAAAGTCACATACAAGAGAAAGCCACGTAATAACTTGTTTGAAGTTTCCCACCTGATAACTGGGGGAACAGGACTGTGGCAGCAAATAAAGCAAATAATGACTTAATGATTTGCATTTAGGTACTACATATGTGTAGCCAGAATGCCATAAAACCCGAAGGACATCCTTTTTCTACATCACCTCTCCCTTGAGAAATCAATATTGGAATGACATTTATTTCTACATACCTTGAAGATTCTCCCATATATCAGAAAATCTATTGCTGATTGTCCTATTTTGCTTCCAAACCAATAACCCATTTTACAATTCAAGAAAAAAAATGGGGAAAAATAGTCCAATCAGCTTGTATACAAAATTATAGCAAATGTTTTGTATAAGGTGGGATAAGGATGGAAGTTTTGTACTATGAAGCTTTATTCCCCAATAAGCTGTGTGATGTTGAAAATAGTAGGCTTAGAGTTGATCATCTCCATACATTAACAATTTGTTGCTATCAAGAGGATTGTTTGGGGAGGATTGTATACAATGTAACATAGTCTCTAGTTATTATGTTTTAGCAAATTTAGGTCAGTTTCCTGTAGTTTCTGTTTTCCATATATGTCTCAACTTCAGCTTATTCTAAAAATGTGTATATCTTAATTACAATCTGTTGTAGAATTAAATCAGTGAATGACATACCATTCTCCTTACGTTTTTGCCAGCTCTTATCAGTCTTAGCCAGTTTGACTAAGGGACATACACCCAACTAAGTTGTGATACATTCTGACTTCACACACCGTGTTAAATCAAAACCAAACCACATTGTGGCTGATTTAAAAATAGTCTTAAGGCAATTTGTGGAACTAGCAACCATCTACCCAATTTTAGTTCTTTTCCACATATTTTTCCCTTAGGATGAAAATATTGCTGCCTATAGAAGACAATGATTTAGTCAACTGTGATAGGGCATCAACAAATAGACCTCGCAAAGTAAGATGAATGGCTTTATTATTTTAGTCCTTCTGTGGTCCTATCTTTTTACTAGTTGTGATTCAGAAAATTCCTACGTTTTTTTTTTTCAATGATCCAGATTGCCTTTCGTTTGACAGTTGACCCCCTGAGGCCATTCCTGGAAGAAACAAATTGTTTCAGTGTATTAGTAAGAATGTTCAGCTAGTTACTTAAGCCCTTTTCAGTAAGCTACTCCATGTGCTCAGCCCCATGTTCCTTTTTTATTTTTCTATCTCACACTCCACATTGTATGACTTAAGGGGTATTTTAAGAGGGGAGGAGACTTAGAATTCTTTTTAACAACAGTCTATTAAGTTCACTAAGCAGGCTGTTATTTCTTGTTTCTTCCTGTCCTTTAGCTCAGTGTTTCTCAATCTTGACAATTTTAAGGCATGTGGACTTCAACTCCCAGAATTCCACAGCCAGCAATGCTGGCTGTGGAATTCTGGGAGTTGAAGTCCATATGCCTTAAAATTGTCAAGGTTGAGAAACACTGCCTCCATCCAGCACTTTGGTTTCCTGTTTGAGATGAATGACCTTGTGGAATTATTTGGTTGCTAGTCTGCTTAAGTGTTAATGATTGGATTTAGATATCATACTGTAGATCAGGTATGTCAAACTGCCGGCCCATGGGCCGGATGCGTCATACCAAAACCCTGCCCATCCCATTGCCGGTAACGGGGAAAAGATTGTGATACATCGCGCGATATCATGTGACATCATGAATTTGACATGCCTACTGTAAATGAAGGAACAATCCTGGACATATAACATATACCATAGTATTAAATATAGACAGTGCAATCAGAATAACAGTGCAAGTAGTCCTCAACTTACAACCACAATTAAGTTCAAAATTTAAATTGCTAAGCAAGACAGTTGTTAAGTGAGTTTTGTCCCATTTTATGACCTTTCTTGCCATACTTATTAAGTGAATCATTGCAGTTGTTAAATTAGTAACACGGTTGTTAAGTGAATCTGGCTTCCCTATTGATTTGCTTGTCAGAAAATCACAAAAGATGATCACGTGATCCCAGGACACTGCAACTGTCATAAATATGAGCCAGTTGCCAAGTATCCAAATTTTGATCATCTGACCATAGGGATGCTGCAATGGTCATAAATGTGAAAAATAATAAGTCGCCTTTTTCAATGCTCTTACAACTTCAAAAAGTTGAGGACTACCTGTAGCCAAATTCACACTATTTGCTGAGCCCAAACTGCAATACTTATATACTATATTATGTATTGTACGCAATATGAATTGATGCTATGTAGAAACCTAGCCATTTTACCTTGCTTGGATCCACACAATATGCTAAATCCATCTGTGACTTAGTTTGGGGGTTTGTTTTTGGACAGTTTAGGTTTGTTTTGGGGCAATAAACTCAGTTCCTGTGTTTATAAACTATGATATATGGTTCAGTTTAATGTGAATGCAATCATCATTCAACAAACCATAGTTTATTGTCCCTCATAGTTCAGGGGATGACACCAGACTTTATCATTTTATTGACTGAAATATCTGCTTTTGGTTTTAAAAAGTGACAAATGTGAATGTTGAATTATAGACAGATTAAAGAAGTTATTTGTTAACCCAGACAGCAATTTGTATGTATGTGTGTAATTATATATAGTTTTTCCATTTCATCATTGTGTTACTGTAGAATTCATTAAGTATTCATGA